ATAGTTAACAACAATGCATTATATAGTTCGAAATAGCTAGACGAGTTCCCAACACACAGAAATAATTACTCAAGGTGATGGATATATTAGATATCCTGGCTTGATCATTACACATGCTATGCATATGACAAAATATCACATGTACCCCATAAATACGTACAAATATTATGTATCAGTAAAAAATTGTTAAGTGGTATATACATACAACAGAATATTATTCAGCCTTAAAAAAAAAGAATGAAGCTGGAATATACAACAACATGGATGAACTCTGAAGACATTATATAATACTAAGTGAATAAGCCCATCACAGAACAACAACTACTGTATAATTCTATTTATAAGAGGTATCTAAAATAGTCAAACTCAAAGAAGCAAAGAATAGAATGGTGGTCGCCAGAGGCTGGGGAGTGAGGAAGATGGGAGTGAGAGCTTCATTCGTGCAAGACGAGTAAGTTCTAGAGCTCTGTTGCGCAGCACTGTGCCTGAAGATACCAATACTGTGTTGCACACTTAAAAATCTGTTAAGAGAGTAGATCTCATGTTAAGTGTCCTTACCACAACAAAATTGAAAAAAATACTGAAAAACATAAAAACCTAAAAAAGAGCTGGGTAAGCAAACATGAGCTGCGAGCAGGAGGACAGCTAAAGAGGACCAGTGACACTCTTCAATCACTTTGAAAACCATCTTGGTAGAAACTATTCATTCTTAAACAATGAAAGGGCTCGCTGAAAATTAGTCTTCTCCATCTCTGGAAGAAGGATCTCTGATTGGGAAAAATGAAGTCAATTCCACAAAGATCCACTGGGCTCCCACCATGTGGCAGGTGCTGGTTAAGGACCGAGAGGGCGAACAGGGTAGCCCCTGCTTTGCTTGCAAGGCAGTGAAATGGGGCGGTTAGGGACAGGCACCCTGTGGTCAGATCTAGATTCTAATACTGACTCTGCCACTCGATGGCTGTGTGGCCCTGAGCAAGTTGCCTGACCTCTCTGTTCTCCTCTGGAAAACGGGGATGATAATTTTCGGAGTGTTGTGTGAGTTAAGAGAGAAAAGAATGTATAAAGTGCTTTAGATCGTGCCTCCCGTGCAGCGAGATGTGCTGCCATCATTACTGAATATGCTAGCAGGCTGGAGGGCCTGTTCTGGGCCCCAGAAGGGGGCTATCTGTGTGCTGGGCTGCGGATCGGGGTGAGGGGGCTCTATGGAAAAGGCGACTTTGAGCCGGGCTGTGGAAGAAGTGTCAGGGCCGGGGAGACGGAGACCTAGAGATGATGCCAAGGTTTCAGGCTTGAGCAACCTAGAGGGTGGCTGATTTGACGAGGTCAGGGTGTGAAAGGAAACGTCTGTCCGTGACTCTCAGACAGCCGGGTGTCCTCCAGACTGACAGGGCCCAAGGGCTGAGCACGTGATGGATCTTAAAGGGGCCGAGTGAGCCCCGGGCCCAGGAACTACAGGGACCTCTGTAAGCACGAGGACCCCAGATGGGGGCTGGGTTGTGAGGACTTTCTATCTTGCCCTTGGGTTTGTTCTGAGTGAGCCTCTTCACAGCGACATGGTTTTTGTTTGACTTGTGACAAGGGAAGGGGAGCAGGAGCCATGGGGGTGCAGAGATGGTGGGTGGCCGCGACTGTGAGGAGCGCCATCAGCAGGTTCTAGGGCTGCTGCCCGGCTGGGGTGCCCTAGTGCACCATCCGCCCTACCCCCCCCACCCCTGTGAGCACTGGGCCGAGCAGGAGGGCTTTGGGGCGTGGCTCTGGCCACATGTTGCTGGAGGGGCCCAGGCACACAGCGTCGTCTGCGGCTGGAAACGTGGACCTGGAGGTGGTTCTGGGAGGTGGGAGGATCCCAGGGCACGGTGGGTGCTGTGGATTTGGAGTCAGCCATCTGCATGGCCCTGGGGAAGAAGCCTGAGCTTTTCCAGCATGCAAGGAAGTGGCAGCAGTGTCTTTGGCTCTAGAAACTTCCATGAGCCAGCTCAACCTGCTTTAGGGATCTAGGCCAGGCCAGGGTATGAGTGTGTACGTGATAAGGCAGGAGAGGCAGCTCTGACCCTAAGAATTCAGGGGTCCCCAGGGAGCTGGGAAAGGCAACAGGCTCTCCACAGGGACTGATACCCCCAGGTCACCCTTTTCTGTCCCTATCTTTTCTAAAGGCCTCATTGTAGGGAAGCCCAGTTCTCCACCGGAAACAGCCCGAGATCAGGAGTCCAGGAGCTCCAGGCCAGCTCCAGCATGGACCAGCCTTGTGTCCTTGGGCAGGGCACTTAGCCCACGTGCACCTTTAAGACTGGCGTGTGCTCAGTCCCTAGGTCCCATTAGCCTGGGACAACCAGCTCTCTGAGAGCTGCTGTGCCCTAGAGTGTGTCCCCTGGGCCTTTCCTTCCATACTCTGACCTAGCTGCCCCTAGTGCACCATCCGCCCTACACCCTTGCAGAGAAAGCAGCATGAGCCCCTTTGCAGATGAGGAAACCGCAGCTCAGAGCAGGTAAACTCTCTCCCCAGACGGCACAGCTAAAACCCAACAGCACCAGGATCTGAACCCCGGCAGCAGCCTGGCCCCAGGGATGATGCTGTAGCTTGGTACACGGGGCTTTGGTTTCTTCTTTTTCAAAATGGTAAAAGCCGTAGGTAATTTATTTACTTTTCCAGTTGACCATGAGCACAGGATGGATCTGTGTTTGTCAGTGCTGAAAAGTGTAATGCATCAAACGAGCAGGCATTAGGAGTGGCTCTTTGTTTCTTGTCTGTGCAGACCTCCTGGCACCTTCCGGATCTCACACTGGAAAGTTCGCACTACCTCAGGCGGTGTTAGAAGTGCCTCAGCAGCCAGGGCCAGCGCTCAGCCCCAGCCCTGCCTCCTGCTTGGAGGAGCAGGTGACAGCAACACCAGGAGGTGTCCAGATCAGGCGGAGTGAACGTGTTGAGGCAATTCAGGTCACTGCCCTAGAACAGCGCGGCTCCCTGTCTGGAGGTGGGTTGTCAGGGGCCCAGGGCCATGCCGGCAAGGACGGAAGCGCCCCAAGAGGCCATCTGGGCCAGCTCCCTGCCTTCAAGTCATCCCAAAGAGGTGCAAAAGGCAAAGCCATGAGCTCAAGACCCTTTGAGGGTGACGCGAAGTCGGGAGAGGCCCGTTGCCTGAATCTGCGAAGCAAGTCTGAGTTCAAGTGCATCTGTTGTGAAACATGGTCTGGCTACGTGGAGGGGCAGAGGCTTACGGGTTTACGAAAGCACCCAAGAGAGGCCCGTGTGCTCTGCGCTAGTCTGGAATGAGCACGCTATTGTTCTATAAATGGATGCTTCAAAAACACTTACAAATACACTCTCTCCCCTCTCTTAAATTCCTCTATTATCGTCTTTCTTTCAAAAATACAAAAATGTCCCTTTCCCCCACACCTCCCCTTTACCTAACAAGTTCCCTCTCTCTGCTGCCATTCACAGACAAGCTTCTCGCAAGACTTGTCCACACTCCTGTCCTCACCTCCACCGACACCCAGGGCCTGTGACCTGGTTGCCAAATGCAGGGCCCTTCCCTGTCCTCGTCCTTTGCTTCTCCAGAGGCTGCTCCTCCCTATGTCCTGGTCCCTGCTATGTCCAGAGGCCTGCTGAGGGTGGCGGGGACGGGGCATGTGACGCGTGGGGCCGGCTCAAGCTCCCAGGAAGGACTGCTGTGACGGTTCTTGTGTGCTCCTCTGGAGCCTTCCCTGCCACCTCACCCTCCTCCTCCACCCCCTCTGCTCGCTCCGCCCATTCCTCCACCTGCACCCTCTTCCTGGGTGACCCCATCTGGTCCCCAGCCTTGAGCACCAGGAGCACGTCAGCAGTTCACACGGCCCGCAGACCCCTACCTCCAGTGTGACCTCTTCCAGATCTTCAGACCCTCCCACCAGGCCAAACTCGGGGCAGCTCCCCAGGGACAGCTAACAGGTGACCCAACCACAACATGCCGAAAAACACTCCTGGTTTCCAGGCCCACTCTATTTTTTCTATTATATTTTTCTTCTAGCATTTGCCATCCCAGAAAACGGTGTCACCAGGCTGGTGAACAGAGAGCCCACGCCACCTCCTGCCTTCCCTGCATCTCACATCGGCAAGTTCTATTGGTTCTAAGAACACAACCAGAACCCAACTCTGCACTGGACGACACCAGTAGCCCCCAACTGGGCTCCTAGCTTTCACCTTTCAGTTTTATTCTCCAAGAGTAGCCAGAGGGGCCTCAGAAAGCATGTGACAGCAACTGGTAGGGCGAGCACCCCCTGAGTCCTTGCTTCTCAAAGGAGTTTTGGTTATTCTTTTTTATTTTTATTTTCTTATTTATTTATTTATTTTATTTTTTTTTGAGACAGACTCGCTCTGTTGCCCAGGCTAGAGTGCCATGGCGTCAGCTTAGCTCACAGCAACCTCAAACTCCTGGGCTCAAGCAATCCTCCTGCCTCAGCCTCACGAGTAGCTGGGACTACAGGCATGTGCCACTGTGCTGGCTAATTTTTTTTTTCTATGTATTTTCAGTTGGCCAAATTAATTTCTTTTTATTTTTAGTAGAGATGGGGTCTCAGCTTTGCTCAGGCTGGTTTCGAACTCCTGACCTTGAGCCATCCACCCACCTTGGCCTCCCAGAGTGCTAGGATTACAGGCGTGAGCCACCTCGCCTGGCCTCTTTTTTATTTTTTTGAGATAAAATTTAGAAGGAAATCTTTTTTTGAAATAAACAATTCAATGGTAAACCAGTCCAATCCAGAGACGCTTGCACTGCAATAATACGTACCGCAGGCCTCCTGTCTGCAGCCGGAGTTCCAGGTTAGGAATCACCGGAGTCTGAGTTAATCATGCCCCTTGGGGGGCTGTTTCGCTTTACATAAACTCAACAGATAAAGACCTGACTTTACCAAAGGCACGATCCCTCGTAAGTGACATGACCCTGCCGGCTGTGCCCACGCGCGTGAGACGGGTTTCGACTGGCGCCCTCCCAGTGCCAGCGCCCTGGCCCCCGGCGGGCCCTTACCTCCCTGAGGCAGGTGTAGATGGGGCACACGAGCACGCGGAAGGGCTCGCCCGTGCTGCTGCGCATGGTGCCGAAGACCTCGCACAGGAAGGTGATGAAGCCCAGCCAGCGCTCCACGTCCTGCTGCTGCAGCTCCTCGCGCACCGTGAAGTCCTTCTGCGGAGGCAAAGAGACCGCGTCAGCCTCGCCCGGCTACAGCCCAGCGCCTGGTGGCTCAGGGCTGGTCCCGGCCGCAGGCAAAGCCCGTGTCTTCAGTGAGGGTGGGGTGGGTGACGCGTGCACGCGCTTGTGGGCAGGATCACCCTGACCTCCGGACACAGGACCTCTACTTCGGGTGTTCCCAGGCGGGCGGTGCAGCTTCCCCTCCTCTGGCACCTGCTGCAGGTCACCCTCCTTCACTGACCCCCACTGCTCAGGTAGTGGGATGAGATGGAAGGGGAAACGTCACTCTCGCAAGACTCAGCACTTCCCTCATTCACCTCCCTGTGGCTAAACCATATCTCCCTTTGCTGACCCCCAAATCACGCCCTCTGCATCCGGCAGGGCAGCCGAACACCGCCTGCCGCGAACGGTCAGCAAGGGGCAAACGGGGCCCCTCCGGGCTAGTGCTCGACACAGCTGCCACCCCGCCTGCAAGGGGCCTAGCGGGTAGTAGGAGTACTGGGGGTATTCATTCATTCATTCATTCGTTCTTCCTCCTTAAAGAGGAAGGTTAAAGAGGTAGGTTAAATGATGTTCTGAAATACATTTCCCTTGCCCTGTCTTTGGGTTTGGCCATGTGCCTTGCTTTAGCCAACAGAATGAGGCAGAGGTGACAGGGTGCCAGCTCTGATCTGAGGCCTTAAGTATTTATGCTCACTCTTACGCTTCTTCCATCGTCCTGAGAAGACTCTCTCTGGCCTGGCCTGATGGTCCCAGAAGAAGGACGAGAGACACGTGGAACAAGGCCCACCCAAGTCTAGCCTAGATTAGGTGACCCCTAGCCAACCTGCATGAACATCGTCGAAATGCGTGCTTACTGCTGCGTGACCCTGAGATTGCTGTGGTTGTTTGTTAAGCAGCAAGAGCTGACTGATACAGGATTGATACGAGAGACAATCTCAAGCTGAATAGCAACTGCTAAGGGGTGAGTGGAAAGGGAAGTGGGTGGAAAGGGAAGACTGGGAGATGACACCAAGATTCTGGGTCTGGGTGACTGTGCCACCAAAATAAACAGAACATGGGAAGACAGGTTGTACAGTGTGACCCAGGCCACTCCCACAGTCCAACTCCCTTCCCCACTGCGGACTGCGGCTGAGCATCCTTGATGCCAGAGTCTCAGCACCTGCAGAGGCGGAAGGCCGCAGAGAAGAGTCGGTTAACACCTGTCCCCCGAGGGTGGTGAAGGTGCTATCTAGGCAGGCGGGGCCCCGGTCTCCTTAGGCAGCACAGCAGGGGCTGGCCGAGAAGATTTCCAAGAGAAGCTACCTGAGTTCCAGCTTTGGATGAGCTCAGGCCACAGCTTATGACAACCTGAGTTTCAATATTACAAAGAGAAAGTATGTACACGTGTGTGCATGTATGCGTCTATACTTAAATCAACATCTACATGGAAAACAACAGCACAGCCGCCACCTGTCAGCTGGACACTGAGCCAGGTGTCTTCACTGCACTATCTCATTTAATCACCACAATCATCCCACAAGGCAGGTCTTGTCATTGCCCCGTTTCACAGACAGTGAATCTGAATAGAGAAGTTGTGCAACTTGCCCATGACCTTGTGGCCATGGCAGAGCTGGGATTTGAACCTCGGTTTGCCTACTATGGACACCATGCTTATGTTTTTCCCCCTCTCCTTTTTATGGCATTTTTTAAAAAATTAATTTTCCTGTGTATATTTAAGTTATACCCCATGGTATTATGGGATACATATAGGCAGTAAAGAGTTACTATAGTGAAGCAAATTGCATATCCATCATCTCACATAGTTACCTATTTTTTTTGTTTGTTTTTGTGGCCAGAACAGCTCTTTGGTGTTTTTAGATGGGGAAGTAGTACACCAGAGTAGTACACCAGAGCCCAGTCACTCTCCAAGTCTCCACTCTCCACTAAGCCGTTTGTCCAGACTGCCCCTTGGAAGCGCACCCCTGCCTGAGACCCCTCAGGCCTCCCGCCCCCACCACTGCCCAACGGAGTGTCTGCCCGTGCGCCACCACGGAGCTCTGGTGCTTGTCGCCTACCCTGGAGTCCCAGCTGGGACAGGGCCGGCCAGGGACCCCTCAGTAGCAGACACAAAGCTGGGTCTGTGTCTTCTCCCTAGCCCCGAGCCTACAGAAGGCAGCTTCCACAGGGGATGCTCCAGGGATTCCGGTTATCTGTGAATGAGCAAATGACCTTGCCCGCCATCCCAGAGCCTGCGAAGGGCCCCGGACTGCTGGCCTTGAAGTCGTGAATCTTTTGGTGGTTCCATTCTCATTAATCTGACGATCCCATCATAGTCTTACGTAATCTGAACAGGGGTGGGCATTATCATTCTCATTTTAAAATGGGGAAACCGAGGCACAAGAGATGAAAAGATTTGACTGAGGTCCCACAGCACTAGAACTTGAATGAGAACCTAAGCCCCTTCTCTGCTCTGGGCTAAAGGTTCTCAGCCTGGGTTTCACACTGGAGTTGCCTGGAGGAATGCAGAAGAAATCGATGCTTGGACCACCCCAGAGAGTCTTGTGTTGATTGGCCAGGGTGGGGTTGGGGCACTGGTCATTTCTGATATTCCCCAGGTGATTTCAATGCGCAACCGTGGCTGAGATGAGAACCACAGCTCTTGGCCTTTATAAAGTGCCAACTTGAGTGTTAAAACAGTGCCCTTCTATCAACGCCCAGTGTGTCCTTCCCCCATCTCCCATAAAAATGCCCATCCACGAAGGCACACGGGGAAGGACAAAGTCCCACAGCAGCACCGAGGAGGAAGATAACAGTTCACCAGCAGACGCTTCACCAGACTTGGGAGGTAACACCATTCACGAAAGTACTGTCACCAATAAACTGAGATTGCCCAGGGCAGCTTGGCCTCTTGACCCAGAAGACCAAAAGCAGGGGGTAGCTGGAGGCTTCAGTCCCTTCCCCTGTCTGCCTCTGGCTGGCTGAGCAAGAGCTTGTCAGTACTAGCAAAGCCCTGTGCCTGTGTCCTCAGGCAGCTCCCATCAGCACTGGCTTACTCCAGGCCTTGGTTTAGAAGAAACAGAATGGAAAAGTGAAACTACTAATGAAACCAGGTAGATATATGAAGTTAAGTCAAAATAAGTATTTATAATTTTGGTTATAAGATTGAATCAAAAGCCAGAAATAGTTCTTAAAAGAGATTTAATTTTTAAATGTACTTTAAATAATAACTTCATAGTAGTAGTGATTTAATAATCCAAAATTAAATGACTAAAGACTGATAAATACTGGTAGGAGGGGGACAAAAGACTGTAAAACACACAAAATTTCCTAATTGAGACCATCAGGATTAATAGGTTATTGGTTCTTTCTTAAGTTTAGTAGTCAGAGCAATAAAAGTTAAAGTATACCTTTAAAAATGCTAACAGTAAACACTAGTAACCACTACCAGAACTGAAAACAGGATATATAAAAATGAATGGATGAGTAAAAATAACTGTGGGCAGATGAAAATAAAATTCAAGCAGTAGTAAGATCAAAGTACTTTTAAGATAACAATCACTAAATACAATTATAAGGTTATTTATATAAATAAAAATACAATCTGTAATAAATAGATAACATTTTATGTTATGTTATAATAAAATGTTATCTATTTTCTAGCAAAGATTCAAAATATATCAAAAGCTGGGTGCAGTGGCTCACGCCTGTAATCCTAGCACTCGGGGAGCCCAAGGTGGGAGGGCTGCTTGAGGTTAGGAGTTTAAGACTAGCCTGAGCAAGAGTGAGACCCCATCTCTATTAAAAATAGAAAAATTAGCCAGGTGTGGTGGCTTGCACCTGTTGTCCCAGCTACTCAGGAGGCTGAGGCAGGAGGATTGCTTGAGCCCAGGAGTTTGAGGCTACTGTGAACTAGGCTAATGCCATGGCACTCTAGCCCAGGCAACAAAGCAAGACTCTGTCTAAAAAAATTTTTTAAAAACAACTATTGAAACATAAGAAGAAAAACAGCAAGAAAGAATTATATTAGGAAATGACACCACTAACTTTCAATGACTGAATAAATAAATAAAAAATGAATTACTTACATGATTTAAATAATATAGTTAATAAGACTAAATTGAAACAAGCATCATAGTAAGCTGTGATGCCACTATAAATTGCAATGCACAGAAATTGTACAGGTTACATACTGGGACCAAGAATTAATAATTTAAAAAAATCTAATTACTTGGATATTTAAAAGGTATTCTCCTAAAGAAAGATGGAATAAAGATTTAATCAAATATACAATACCTGTAATAAATCATCTAGGAAATAAACAGCTATAAGAACTTGTGAGATGTGGTCAAAGCTATAAGCAAAGGTCAATTTATAGTCTTAACTATTTTGGCCATTAAAAAAAGGAAGAAAATATATTATCTAAACCCATGTTGTCCAATATAGTAGCCACTAGCCATATGTGACTTCTGAGTGCTTGAAATGTGGCTATATGTGCTGTACATGTGAAGCAGACACTAGTTTTCAAAGACTTACTATGAAAACAAGAATATAAAATGTCTCATATTTTAAAAAAAATTGATCACATGAAATTTTGGATATTCTGGGTTAAGCAAAACATACTATTAAAATAAAAATAACATATATAGATGACATTACACTTCTCTAGGATATTAGTCTAAAGATTTAACTCAAAAAATGAGAACACCAACAATGAAGGAAATATAGGAAAGTATATGATATAGTTTGGATATCTGGCCCCTCCAAATCTCATTTGATCCCCAGTGCTGGAGGTGGGGCTTGGTGGGTGGGAGGTGTTTTGGTCATGGGGGCGGATCCCTCGTGAGTGGCTTGGTGTCCACCCCATGATGATGAGTGAGTTTTTGCTTTATTAGTTCAGCAGAGAGCTGGTTGCATAAGGAAGCCTGGCACTGTCTCCTCCCTCTCTTGCTCCTTCTCTAGCCAGGTGACAGGTCTGCTCCCCCTTCACCTTCCGCCTTGCCTGGAAGCTCCCTGAATCTCTCACCAGAAGCAGATGCTGGCACAACCTGCTGGTCTGCAGAACCGTGAGCCAAAGAAACCTCTTTTCTTTATAAATTACCCAGCCTCAGGTATTTCCTTTACAGCAATGCAAAATGGACTAGCACAGGATATAATCCAGATAAAGCCAAAAAATTAATTAGTTAGGAAATAGAGAAAGGAAATTATATACAAAAATCAAGAAAGAAGATATAGAAATAAAATTAGATATGGAAACAGATATGGAATAGATAAAAAAAACCATAATGAAAAATTACAACACAGATGATGATTTTGAAAAATGATTAGATGGATTGTTTTTTTTACTAAAAAAAGAAATAGAAAGTCAGAATAGCCTAAAAATCATAAAATTAAATGAAAAGTTTGGAAAGAATTACCTTTATAAGGAGGTCTCTAAACTTATGACTCTTATGGGTAAATTCATTCAAACTTTCAAAAAATTAGGCAACTGCTTTTCTTTGGAAACTGACCCAGAAGATAGAAAAGGAGCAGCTTTTCAACTGTTTCCCTATAACCAAAATCTCATAATGATAGTAAGTTACAAATAAGGAAGTCTACAGTTTAATCTCTCTAATGGGAATAAATGTGACAGTTCTAAATGAAATACTAACAATTAGATCCATTACAACCAAGCAGATTTTTATCACAGCAAGGCATGGATGCTTTAGTATCAGGAAATCTATAAATGCAATATATTACATCAATAGGCCTGATTAAAAAAAAGCAGCAACACTCATGACCCTTGGAAGGGAAGAGATAAAATGATTTGATTATGTATATGGAAAACCCAAGAGAACTTTCTAATAAAGATTAGAATTAACAAAAGAGTTTAGTAACTAATAAGAGTATTTAGATACAAAACATACAAAACCCAATAGCTTTCTTTTATGACAAGATTAACCAGTGAGATATTCTAATGCATAACAATTCATTTATTAAAGCAATAAAAATACTTAGGTGACACAATTAAGAGATATGCAAGATGTCTATGAAGAAAATTGCAAAACTAAACTGAAAGATTTAAGAGAACATCTTGAACAAGTGAAGAGACACATATTCCCTAATGGGAAGACAGCATTGTAAAGATGGTAATTCTTGCTGAAATAATTCACAGCTGTAACACCAATCTGTACTCCATAGCCCAACGTGAACCTTTTGGAGGAAAGGGGAATGGAGATTTGGAAAAAAAAAAAAAGGTTCTTAAAAGTAATTTGAAAAAATAACAGGGGTTATGGTTAAAATCAAAACAACACAAAACTGGAAACAGTTATATTACTTTCAACCTCTCCCAAAGCTTCAATAAGTAAGAGACTGTGGAACTGACCTAAGAATGGAGACTTAGATTAGGCAGCCTAGAAACAAATTTGGCAACCATAAGGGTTTATCACACGATCCCGGGAGGACCACAAATCAGTGGCACAGGAAGCATTATTCACTCATGCAACAGTGCAAAGGACAGCTGTCTAAGTATCAGGAGGAAAATCATTAACAATCTCACTTCACACTGGGCACTAAAATAAATTACAGATGGACTAAAGAGGTAAATATTTTAAAACAAACAAAAGACAAACCAAAAACTTAAAGAAAATTAAATTGAGTATTTATCAAATTTCTAGATGGAGAAGGGCTTTCTTCATTAAAACAATGGAAGATTGTATCAAAATATTATAAAGATACTTAAAAGGCAATTGATATGCTATAAAAATATGTATAACAAGTGTGATAAATGGTAATGGTCTTAATATACACTATGCTCATATTTGTAATAAAAGTACTAAATCTCTCCTGAACAAATGGGGAAAGTGCATTAAAAGGTAAATCCTATGTCAAAACATAAATTGCTAATAAATATGTGAAAACAAATTAATTCAATATCAGTAGCAATTGAATGAAAATATCTTTTTTCCATCTATATTGGCAAAGCTTAAAATAAAATGGCAATTGTCAATGCTGGTATGGATGTAGTGACACAGGCACTTTTATACATAGGCAGTGTACATTGGTACCACTTTTCTGAAAAACCTTAAAATAAGTCTTAAAAGTGTTCTTATTATTTGATCTGGTAATTGCACTTCTGGGTAATTGTCATAATGACATAATTAAAAATAACAGAAAAAATAAGCTTAATGTACATAAAAATTCAATAACCTAAACATCCAACAATAGGGGAAGGATTAAGCAAATGATGATTCATGCATCCATTA